CGCGCCTCATTTCCTGGCCAAGATGGCGTCGTACGAGCTCCGCGCGGCGCCGCCCTGCACGTGCCGGAATCCCGCGGCGGCCAGCAGCGCGCAGTACTGGACGCGCGTCCGCTCGCGGCCCTCGGTCTGCACCAGCATGTTGAGCGAGTAGAGCTGCGTGCGCAGTGGACCTCGCCCGTCCGCGTCCAGCAGGCTCTCGATGACCAGGACGCCTCCGCCTGGGCGGGCAGAGGCGTGAGGCGCGCGCCACCCTCCCGTCTCCATCCAGGACTCGGGGTTTCGCCCCCACGGGGCGCCCTACTCCCGCGCGGGCTGGACGGACCCAAAGCGCCCCGCTCCCCGTCCTGCGGCCACAGCTAGAGGTGCAGGGTGACTGGCCGCTGGCCCAGCTGTGGGGAGGGACCCGAGCGCGCGCGCCAAGGTGCGCGCTGTGCCCCACTGGACATCCAGGCCTCGGGCTTCCCCGGGGCGGCCGGGAAGGACCGCACAGGACAGCTCGGACGTCCCCGAGTTTGCTGGGCTGAACTGGAAACAGAGGCCATCTCCGTCCCAGTTCCTTTCCAGCGAGAGGCTGTCGCCCAGCAGCGCAGACCCCCCTGCACCTCCTTGTGCCCCCACGGCCACCCCGCCCAGCCCCGCAGCCCCCACCTGGCCGGCAGGCTTGATGGACTCTGGCCAGCAGCCGCAAGCACGCCTCGTCCGCCCAGTCGTGCAGGACACGGGCCAGGATGTACAGGTCAGCTTCCGGCAGGGGGTCTTTGAAGAAGTCGCCTGGAACACGGGGCAAGTGGCCTGGTCAGCCGGCGCCTGGACCCGTGGGGTAAGCGGGACCCGGGCAGGAAGTTCTCGGGGTGAGCCGAGAGCCCCGGTCTTGACAGTCCTCGCCCCCCACCCCCAGGCCGGTATGCTCTGCTGTGTTCACGGGGCTGCAGTGGACACAACAGTCCAGCCGCAGAAACAACCCACGTGCCCCAGGACAGAGCGGCTGAATCTCGGGGGGAATACTACGCGGCCGTGAAAAAGGCGAGGTCCTCCCACTCGTGACTCTGAGTGGAATAAGCCAGAAGGAGAAAGAGTCTGGCTAGATGTGGGCACTAGAGGGGGCAGTGGGAGAGGTCCTAGGGCCCGTGGGGGGAGCCCCACCTGCCAGGAAGGTGACCGGTCCTCCCTCGGGGGGTGAGAAGTGCGTCTTGGCTGCCAGCACCACCTCAGGGAGGTCGAACACGGTGACCTGGCACCCAGGGTACAGAGAAAGGCAGTGCCTGGCCAGCGCCCCGGAGCAGCCTGGAACAGACGGAGCAGGCGGTGGGCAGGGGCTGGACAGACCCAGTGGGGGGGTCCTGGCGGTGGCCCCGTGCTGGCCGTGCTGCTGGGCGGGGCTGGACCCAAGCAGCGTGAGCTGTGGTCTGGGGCCACGTGCTGCGTCGTGGTGCGGACGGCCAGCAGGAGGAGGAGGCAGACCGCGGAGGTGACCGTTCCGGGGGGCCCCGCAGGGCACCGGCGTTCTCTCGTGCACCCTGCACCAAGGGGGTCATCGCTAGCGCCCCCTCGTCCCCTCATTGCGAGGTCAGCAGAAGGGCCACAGAGGTCGGGAAAGGCCGGACAGGGGTGCTGAGGGCAGGACAGGCAGGCAGGTGGACCTGGGTGAGGACAGGCGGCCGAGGTGGTCCCGGGGGCCCGGGGTCCAGGCGCCCTCCTTGTCTGCACCGGCAGGGCGGGTGGGTGGACAGTGGTCAGAGTGGGACAGCGGGCACAGACCGACGAGGGGGGCGGGGTGTGGGCGCCCCCTGGAGGACTGGCCGGTGCCCGACGCGCGTCCGTCCCCGTGAAGCCTAGAAGCTCCCTCTGGTGGCCGCACTCACCACCGACGTCGCAGATGAGCGGGAACGGGGACAGGTCGAAGGTGGCCATCAGCCGTCTCCCGTGGACACGCCACACGTCCTGCAGCCCCCGCATGAAGCGCAGCCGCTCGTCCTCGGACCTGGCGCGAGGCCGGGGTGTCCGGGGTGTCCACGCTGTCGGCCGGCCCACACCAGCCCCTCACCCTCGGGGCCACCCACTCTGGTGGCCACGCGTACTCCGGCGGCCCCGCCCACTCTGACGGTCACGCCCACCCCAAACGCCCCGCCCCTCCCACTCTGAAGGCCCCGCCCACTCCAACGGCCTGCCCACGCCACGGCCCTCTCACCCTCGG